TTGGTACCAGGGATCAAGCTCGGGTCCTTGCAGTTGCAAGGCAGGCAGCAGAACCACTGAGCAAAATCCCCAGCCCAGACGGGGAATTTAAGACCATAAAATTCAAGGGCCCAGGGGATTGAGATCCTAGGCATCAAAACTCAGAGATTTTAGGATCTCAGAAACAGTTGTGGAGCCAGGTGTGGTGGTGCACACCTGTGACCCCAGCACTTGGGAAGCTGAGGCAGGAGGATCACTGCAAACTCGAGGCCATGCTGGCCCACAGGGTGAGTTCAAGGCCACTTTGACCTACAAAAAACCCCAAACAGTTGAAAGTCCCTTTGGGGAGTTAAATTTTACTTTGGGTCTTGAGTTTACTCTGTGCTGATCCTGTGTGGTTTTTTTGTTTTGTTTTTTCTTTGTGGGGGTGGTGTGGTACTGGGAATTGAACTCAGTGGGGCTTTTTTTTTTTCCTTCAGTACTAGGGATTGAATTTAGGACCTTGTGCTTTTGAGGCAGGCTCAGCACCACTGAACTAAATCCCCAGTCCTGAACTCAGAGACTTTGCCCTGAGCAACATCCTCAGCCCATTTATTTATTTATTTATTTATTTATTTATTTATTTATTTATGAGATAAAGTAGTAAGGCACTAAGGCAGTAAGTTAGTTACCCTGGCTGGGGCCAGAATTTGAGATCCTCCTGCCTCAGCCTCTTTGAGTGCTGAGATTACAGGCATGCAGCACCACACCCTGGCTAACCCTTTGTTGTCTTAATGAACCATCAAGGAAGGCTGGCAATTAAGGATTCAGGATGTGTGAACCTTATTTCCTGCACTGCACTGTTCTAAACACTGTACCCAAATTAGGTCAGCCAATCCTTACACCCCTTTGAGGTGAAGGTATTTATTTGCCCATTAAACAAGAGGAGACTGAGGTACAGAGACAATAACTAGCCCGAGGTAGAGGTAGAATGAGAGGAAGTTCCTAGCCCTTTTCGCTGAAGTCCACAGAAGTGAAAATCAAGCCCCAGAGAAAGCGGGGGAGGTTACTGTTACAGAGACACTGTGTCCCGACCAAGCTGGAGGATTCCAACCTGGCGTTCCCAGCCCATGCTGGCGCCCTGACCTGGTTCCTACTGAGAGTGCCTCCTCCGGGAGGCCCACAGGATCCTTAACCCCAAAGAACCCGGCAGGCTGCTGAGGAGGCTGGGCAGAGAGAGCTGGGGGTGGAGCGGAGAGGGGAGCCCAGGAGAGGCTACTGGGGTGGGTGGGAATCCCCGGAAGGAAGGGGGAGCCTGTGTTGGAGGGGAGCCCAGGGAAGAGGAGCTGGGGGCGGAGGGCAGGGGCCTGGGAACAGAGCTGGGCCCAAGCCACCCTGAGCCCCGCCCGGCCCGCTCCCCTGCCTCCGGAGGTGCGCACCTGCCCGGGCCCGCAGCGCATTCCCGGGGCCTGAGCTCAGGCGCTTTGGCCTGGCCAAGGTCGGGCGGTGACCCCACGCCCCGTGGTGGTCCAGGCACGCCCACCGCCTGCACCAGCCTCGGGGACTGCCCCACGCCCAGGCAGGCATTTCCTTAAGGTGTCGGTGACGTGGAACCCGAGCATCTTAGACATTTGCCAATCATGCAGTCCTCAAAAGAACTGTTTACTGTCGGAATGCTGGCGCTGGAGGCCGGGGAGAATTGATTTATGTTCTTGGTACTGGGGACTGAACCCAGGACCTTTGGGCCGAGCTACATTCCCAGCCCTTTTATTTTTTATTTTGAGACAAGGTCTTGCTGAATTGCCCAGGCTGGGCTCAAATTTTCTATCCTCCTCCCTCAGTCTTTGAAAGTGCTGAGATTACAGATGCACATCACCACGCCCGTCTGACTAGATTGTTTTTATATTTTAACAGACAAAGTGTTTTCCTGTGCCTCTGAAATTCTAAAAGCCCTGTTTTGATTCCTATAGTCTCTGCTTTCTGAGATTTCAGTTCTCAGAGCCCTAAATTCCAACAATCCTACCCGGTGAACTGTTCCTCGGCTCCATTTTATGGTCAGGAAACTAAGGCACACTGATCAGGGTCAGCCAGTGGTCCTGCCAGATTTGAACCCTCAAAGGCTGATTGCTTATTGGAGGTTTTTTGTTTGTTTGTTTGTTTTGTTTTTTTTGTTTGGTATGGGGTATTGAACTCCAAACCCTGTGCTTTTGAGGCAGGTGTCAGAACCACTGAACTAAATCCCTGGCCCACTTATTGGCCCTTTTACCTCCTTTAGACTTTCAGTACAGTTCAATCCTGGGATAGAAAGTGGGGCAGTGAGAACTGTGGGCTATCACATTGGAAAATTCCAAAGTGTTCCAAAAACAGAGTCTTGGGTCTAGAACTTTCCAACAGTGGACTCTCAAGCCAAGGAGTTCAAGATCTGTAGGGTTTTATTTTATTTATTTATTTATTTATTTTTGAGACCAGTTCTTACCATGGAGTTCAGGCAGGCCTTGAATTTAATATGTGGCCCAGGCTGGCCTTGAACACACAGTGATCCTCCTGCCCAGACTGAGTGTTGGGATTACAGACAAGTGCTGGGATCTGCAGAACTTTAGTTACAATGTCATGGTCCTGACAGTTTTAGAGTGGAGACCTCTTTAGAGTTTGAAGGGGACTCTCAGAATAGCTAGTATGCCTTCCTTCCCTGTGGGGAAACTGAGGCCTCAAGCAGAGAGGACCCCTTGGCCAAATTCACACACTCCTGGTGCACCCAGATGAGCCCCAACGTGTTCTGTTCCTGCAACTTCTCAGACTGAGGCTGGTGTCAGCAAGCCTCAGCCTGCCCTGCTGCCCACGCCTGGACTGCCACAGCCTAGAGGTCAGGGCAGCCGGAGGTATCAGGCTGGCAGGCGTGGCGGCTGCCATGGGGATGGAGGTGATGCTGGCTGGACTGGTTCCTGGTGGCTAGGCTGGTGACCAGAGTGGCCCATCCCACCCTGGCTACCTCTCTGTTCCTCCTTCACTTGGGCTAGGCCTCCTCTGGGTGGGGACTGCAAGGGGAGGGACCCAAGCCGTCATCTCTGGACCCCTCCCTAGACCTTGCAGAATAGCAAGCTAGGTCCTCGAGGGAAACCCAGGGCAGGCGACTTCTTGGAGGGGGACCTTGGACAAATGCATCTGAGCCTCACTTTCTTGCTACTAAGGTGGTTCTGATCATGAAATAAGGGTCGAGTGTAACCCCCTTTAGCACAAGACAGTGGCCCCACAATTAGTGGCTGTTGGTTTTATTACGTGATGTTCCCGGTCACAGGCAAGGGTTCTAGTACAACACAGTAGGCAGCATGAGTCTTCAGAATATCTCCAGCGTCTCCTGGGCTCCAGTGGGTATGCAGTGCAGTAACTCATAGTTTTCATTTCATCCCCTGTATCTTGGCACATAGTAGGTGATCAATAGATACCTGTTGAAGGAACCACTTCCTCTCTCTTCCTCCCATCCCCAGCCTTTTTTTTTTTTTTTTCCAGACAGGGTTTTGCTCAATTGCCCAGAGGTTGGGTTCAAACATGTAATCCTCCTGCCTCAGCCTCCTGGGATGCTGAGATTACAGGCGTGCATCACCATGCCTGGTCAGAATTGAGTCCTTTTATCAGGGCTCAGATAAAGAGATGGACAAGGAGCCATGTAAAGAAAGTGAAATAGCTTTCAAGACCAGACTGGGCTACATTACATAGTGAGACCCTGTCTCAAAAAATAAAATAAAATAAAATAAAATGGGTTGGGGATGTAGCTCAGTGGTTTAGAGCTCCTGCTTTTGATCTCCAGTACTGAGATAGTAAGGGAGAGATAGATAAAGATGGGATTGTTTGGAGCCTTCCAGCTGGGTTTGGACTCCTAGGAGCCTGTGGACTGGGCTTTGCAGGAGCTGACGTTTCCCAGCTGGGGCAGTGGAAGGCGAAGCGCTTGCACCATCCTGCTCCCCGCCCTGGTTCCGGGGGCCGGGTCTGAGCAGCTCCCCCACCGCGCAGGCGCCCTGCTGCGACCGGCACCATGGACAGCGAGGCTTTCCAGAGCGCGCGGGACCTCCTGGACTTGAACTTCCAGTGTGAGTTCGGGAGGGGCGGGGAAGGGGCGGGGAAGGGGCGGGGCCCGGCCCGGAGCCGCGGTCCTCACCCCCTCTCCCTCTTGCAGCGCTGGCCATGAAGCACATGGACCTGAAGCAGATGGAGCTGGATACCGCGGCCGCCAAGGTGGACGAATTGACCAAGCAGCTGGAGTCGCTGTGGTCAGAATCACCAACGCCTCCTGGCTCGCAGGCCGGAGCCCCCGTTAGGGTGAGCCTGGGCCCCACCTGCGCCCCCAAAGACAGTTGCCCACCACGCTCTGAGGCGTGGATTTCAAACAAAGCTGCCCCTTATGGTTGTGGGGTCTTCAAGAACACTTGGAGATGAATATCTAACAGGACCCCAGAATGCAAAGAGGTCTTTCCCCAAGAGCTGGGCATGTTGGCCCATGTCTGTAATCAAAGTGCTCAAGAGGCTGAGGCAGGAGGATCGCTGACAGTTCAAGGCCAGTCGGAACTACATAGCGAGACTGTCTCTACAAACTAAAACTAAAACTAAGTGGCACAAAGGAGACAGCGAAGGGTTAGCTTCACTCTTTCACCAACACCCCTCACTGTGGCTCACTGCCACAATGTCTACCTAGGCCCAACTTCTCAGGGTAACTTTCTTTTGCCCCACTGTGGATTGAACCTAGGGTATTCACACAGAACAACACATCCCCAGTTTTTGTTTTGTTTTAAAATTTTGTATTTATTTATTTATTTTGGTACCGGGAATTGGAATCAAACTTGGGTCCTTGTGCTTGTGCAGCAGGTGGCGAAACCACTGAGCTAAATCCCCGCCCCCCCCAAAATTTATTTTTAAACTTTGAGACAGGGTTTCCCTAAACTGCCCAGACTGGGCTCGAACTTGCAATCCTGCTTCAGCCTCCCAGAGTGCAGGGTTCACAGGTGTGCGCCACCACGCCCAGCTTCTGGGTTCACTTTCAGCGTCCCCTTTGCTTTCTCCCATCAACCCTTCCACTAACGTCTTCTCTGATCCCTCAACGTCCAACGTCCGGGCCTCCCCACAGCAATCCCGGTACAGCTCCAGCCCCGTCCCCGAATCCTTCGGCAGCAGAGGCTCCCCACGAAAGGCGGCCACGGACAGCTCAGACTCCCCTTTCGGACGCTCCGAGAGTGGCCCGGCCCTGCATCCGTACAGCCCACTGTCACCCAAGGGCCGGCCGTCCTCGCCGCGCACCCCACTCTACCTGCAGCCCGAGGCCTACAGCAGCCTGGACCGCGCGCCCTCGCCCCGGCCCCGGGCCTTCGATGGGGCTGGCAGCCCCCTGGGCCGTGCACCCTCCCCACGGCCGGGGTCCGGCCCTCTCCGCCAGCAAGGTTCCCCTGCGACCTTCGACTTCCTGAGCCGCGCAGGCTCCCCACGCGGTAGCCCTCTGGCCGAGGGACCTCAAACCTTCTTCCCCGAGCGCGGACCCTCGCCACGCCCTCCTGCCTCAGCCTATGACGCGCCTGCTTTCGGGAGCCCCCTGCTGGGCGCGGGCGGCAGTGCCTTTGCCCCACCTCTGCGCGCGCATGGTGAACCTGGGGTCCCAGAATTTTGAGAACTGGAGGGGCCTGGGTCCTGCCTCCCCTACATCCTAGCTCACCGCCTCCTACCCCACCACAGATGACCTGACGCTCCGCCGGCGCCCCCTTAAAGCCTGGAACGAGTCTGACCTGGACGTGGCCTACGAGAAGAAATCTTCACAGGCAGCGAGCTACGAACGTGAGTGATGCTGGCGGCTGGGAACGGGGGACCAAGCAGAGCCCCCTCCCAGCCTGATGATTCCGCTCCGCAGGCCTGGACATCTTCGCGCGGCCTGCCTCGCCGGGCCTGCAGCTGCTGCCCTGGAGAGAGAGCAGCCTGGATGGGCTGGGGGCCTCAGGCAAGGTGAGCAGCATGGCCTGGACCCGGGTCCCCCACCTGGCTACGCCCCAGGTACCTGTGCCCTTCCCGCCTTGTCCTGGACTTCCACTCCTTCTAGGGACTCCCATAGTCCTCTCTCTCTCTCAGACAGGGTCTCGCTTTGTAGTTAAGGCTGGCCTCAAACTTGCTACGATCCTCCTGCCTCAGCCTCCCGAGTGCTGGGATTATAGGCACGCACTACCACACTCTACCCATTCTACCTTTTGCTCTTCCCTCTCTCCCTCCTGAGCACCTTCTAACTTCTCCCCCCTCCTCCCAGGACAATCTCACCAGCGCCACCTTGCCCCGAAATTACAAGGTCTCGCCTCTGGCCAACGACAGGCGCTCAGATGTGGGCAGCTACCGACGCTCACTGGGCTCCGCCGCGGGGCCATCGGGCACCCTGCCCCGCAGCTGGCAGCCAGTCAGCCGCATCCCCATGCCTCCCGCCAGCCCGCAGCCCCGTGGGGCCCCGCGCCAGCGCCCCATCCCCCTCAGCATGATATTCAAGCTGCAGAATGCCTTCTGGGAGCACGGGGCCAGCAGGGCCATGCTGCCCGGGTCCCCCGTCTTCTCCAGAGCACCCCCACCTAAGCTGCCTCCCCAGCCCCAGCCCCAGCCCCAACCTCAGGCCCAGCTGATCTCCCAGCCACAACACCAGCTCCAGCCCCAGCCCCAGCTTCAGCCCCAGGCCCAGCCCCAGCCCCAGGCCCAGCTTCAGCCCCAGCCCCAGCCCCAGCCCCAGCCCCAGCCCCAGCCCCAGCCCCAGCCCCAGCACCAGCCCCAGCCCCAGCCCCAGCCCCAGCCCCAGCCCCAGCCCCAGCCCCAGCCCCAGCCCCAGCCCCAGGCTCAACCACCCACGCCAGTTGCCCAGCCCCCCCAACAGACATGGGCCCCTGTGAACGAAGGTGAGTCAGCAATGGCGCTGGCCCCAGAGGGCTGGGGGGTGGGGCAAAATCAGGAGGAACCCACGGGAGGTGGGGCATGAATTGGCACACCCCGGGAATTGGCACAGGAGCCGGGATTGCAAAATGGCTAAACACTGACCCTGGGCCACCCTTGTTCCTTGCTGTGTGACCTCAAGCAGATCTCTTAACTTCCCTGGGCCTCAAGTTCCTTGAGTGGAAAAGCTGAATAATAGATAATACATAGAATCTATCTTATTGGGATATGATATTAAAACCATATCAAGGGCCGGGGATTTAGCTCAGTAGTTTTGCTGCCTGCTGTGCAAGCATAAGGACCCAAGTTCGATCCCCAGTACCAAAAAAAAAAAAAGTTGAAAACCATATCAAGTCCTTCCCATAGGACCTACCACATAGGAGGCCCTTGGTAGCTATCATGTTAGTTATCACAGCTGTTCCTGGGGTTTTTTGGGGGGGTTTTTTTGGTACTGGGGGATTGAACCCCAAGTCTTTTGCACTGAGTTACATTTTCAGCCCATTTTTTACTTTGTGTTTTGAGACAAGATCTCACTAAGTCACTAAGTTGCCCAGGCTGGATTCCAACTTGCAGTCCTCCTGCCTCAGGCTCCCAGAGTGCTGTGATTACAGGGATGTGCCACTAAGCCTGGCCAAAATCTTATCAACCACAATAGACTGGACTTTCTAAGATCCTAAGAATTTTCTTTCCTAAAATCTGAGGCAGAAAATTCCTGCCAGGAGTTGAATCTTCTGTCTTATTCTATGTTGCAGTGCTTCTAAAGCAGGCTTCTAAATAATAATGATCACTCTTTATTCCAACAATAACCAAAAAACCAAAAACAGATTCTAGTCAGTTAAATGTGTGGCTTTGGGCAGCTGGGTTGCCCCCTCTGAGCCTCAGATTCCCTTCCTGTAATACTGGAAGCGATCGCCTCTCATCCTCATGCAGGAGTGGGAAAAATTCAGTAAGGCCAGAATGTACTGTGCCAGACATCCTGAATACTAATAAATGGGAGCTGCCATGATTGTAGATTATTCACAGCCCAGAGAAGACATGAAACTGCCCTGTGATCCACAGCAAATACGGTGCTGGCCACAGGCCCTGACAGTGGGCGACTTGGACTTGTGCTCTAATGGGGCTGTCCTTCCTGCTAGGCCTCCTTAAATCTCCCGCTGAGCTGGAGCCAGAGCCAGAACTTGAAGTGCTGCTGACCCCGGTGCTGGAGGCTGGCGACACAGATGAAGGCACTGTCACTCGACCCCTTAGTCCCACGAGGCTGCAGCCAGCACTGCCACCCGAGGCACAGTCAGTGCCTGAGCTGGAGGAGGTGGCGCGAGTGCTGGCAGAGATCCCTCGGCCCCTGAAACGCAGGGGCTCCATGGAGCAGAGCCCTGCCGTGGCCCTGCCCCCCACCCACAAGAAGCAGTACCAGCAGATCATCAGCCGCCTCTTCCACCGGCACGGCGGGCCAGGGCCTGGGGGGCCTGAGGCAGAGCTTTGCCCCATTACTGAGGGATCCGAGGCCAGGGCAGGGCCCCCTGCTCCCGCCCCACCGGCCCCCATACCACCCCCAGCCCCACCCCAGAGCAGCCCGCCGGAGCAGCCCCAGAGCATGGTGAGTCCCACAGGAGGACACTGGCTACATCTGCTACTGTCCAGATCCACTGCTGTAACAAGCAGCCTCCGATGTGCTGTGGCTTAAATGAGACAGGTCGTTCTATTTTGTTTTGTTTTGTTTGTTTGTTTTTGTACCAGGGATGGAACTTGGGACCTTGTGCTTTTGAGGCAAGCGGTGGAACCACTGAGCTAAATCCCTGGCCCAGGTCTTTCTATTTTGAGTAAGAGTCCAGGAGTAGCAGTCAGAGCTGGTAGGCAGCAGGGTGAAGTCGGGACCCAGGCTCAGTCTGTCTTGGGCTCCTGTCCATTAGGAGCTGGCCTGCCTTTACCATCTGGGATAGTTCTCAGCCTGTCTGCATCCCTACCAGGAAGGAGAGGAAAAGTCCCCTTCCCCTTGGGGCAGAACTTGGAATTGCACCCATCTAGGGTCCAGAAGCTAGCTGCAAGGGAGGCTGGGAAGTGTAGTCTTCAATCAAGGCAGCAATCCCTTCAGGAAAGGGAGAGAAGGGCCGGGGATTAGCTCAGTGGTGCCGCTGCCTGCCTCCCTCCCTCTCAGTGCAAGATCCTGAGTTTGATCCCTGGTACCAAAAAAAAAAAAAAAAAAAGGAGAGAAAACTATGGAGAGGGATCCAAGAGTCTTGGCACATGAATTATTTTGTACCTTTTCTCCAGTGACCTATGTCTGTGCCCTTTGCTGGGCACTCCATCATTTTTTTTTTCTTTTGGTATTGAGGATTGAATCCAAGGCCTTTGAACTGAGCTACATCCATCCCCAACCCTTTCCTTTTTTTTTTTTTTTTTAATTTTAAGACAGGATCTCTCAAAGGTGCTACCTGCATTGTCCAGGCTGGGCTTGAACTTGCAGTCCTCCTGCCTGAGCCTCCCAGGGTGCTGAGATTACAGATCTGTGTCACCGTGCTTGCCTCTGTGCCACTTATCAGCCATGCAACCTTGGCCAGATGCTTACCCTTGTGGGCCTCAATTTCCTCATCTGTAGGATAGGGATGAGAGAGCAACAGCCACCTCATAGGGTTGCTGTGAAGGCTGCATATATTAATATGTGCTGTGCATGGTGCATGGGATGGAGCCGTTGGCTACCCATTGGTGGTGGGAGGTTCTGGCCATGGACAGGGTGGTCAGATGAACAGTTCTGAGCAGTGTGGGTGACGTGCAGGGTACAAGTCCCAGCAAAGTGGAGGTGAGGTAGACCCCTCAGGGTGTCTTCTCAGGCCTTCCTGAGAGAAGCAATGGCAGCTTGAAACGGGAGTCATCTTATTGTAGCATGCAAAGTTTGGGCCACGGAAAGACTTGACAAATCACAGAACCCAAGGATCAAGCCCTAGCCAGGTCAGGTGGTGCACACACCTGTAATCCCAGCTACTAGGAAGCTGATGCAGGAAGACTGCAAGATTGAACCCCAGCCCAGCTGGGTCTAGTGGTGATTGGGATCTGCCGCCGATCTAGGCCTATGTGTCCCGCTCTGGGTCGTGGGTCTGTAGTATTAGGGATCCCCCAAGTCACCCTCCCCTCCCTGACCCACAGGAGATGCGTTCTGTGCTGCGGAAGGTGGGCTCCCCTCGAAAGGCTCGGCGCGCGCGCCTCAACCCACTGGTGCTGCTGCTGGACGCAGCGCTGACGGGGGAGCTGGAGGTGGTGCAGCAGGCCGTGAAGGAGGTGAGGCCAGCAGGTGCGGGGGATGGCAGGGGCGTGGGGAGCTCAGGGCTGAGCCTCCCATCCTGTCTGCCAGATGAACGACCCAAGCCAGCCCAATGAGGAGGGCATCACCGCCCTGCATAACGCCATCTGCGGTGCCAACTACACCATTGTCGACTTCCTCATCGCTGCTGGCGCCAATGTCAACTCCCCGGACAGCCACGGCTGGTGAGCCCGGATGGGGACAGTGAGGTCGTCGCAGTGGGCTGGGGTCGGGGATGGCTCTGCAGGCTGGGCATCCCGCTCACACATCCCTCTCCTGGGCCCAGGACACCGTTGCACTGCGCGGCATCGTGCAACGACACAGCCATCTGCATGGCGCTGGTACAGCACGGCGCGGCCATCTTCGCCACAACTGTCAGCGATGGCGCCACTGCCATCGAGAAGTGCGACCCCTACCGGGAGGGCTACGCAGACTGCGCCACCTACCTGGCAGGTGCGGGGCAGGGCTGGGGAAGACTGATGAAGGAAGGAGAGGGAAGGGGAATGGATCACCTACGGGGAAAGTGGGGGGCTTGGAGGTTCCAACTATGCCACCTCCCTGGCACGGGTAGGGACTGTCCGGCCTGTGGTGAGACATGAGGCTGTGATCTGTCGGGTGCCTGGCTGCAGCACCTTCCCGTAAGGGGCCAGGTAGGGGGACTGGAAGGACCATGCACGGGCTCGCAGCTGTACACCTGGGGATGCAACTTACAGCCTCGGTTGATATTAGGGGCCGTGCAGTGTAGGGATTCCACAATGTACAAGAGGGAGTGGAGCAGGACATTGGGGCACATGCCTGTAATCCCAGCACTCCGAGAGGCTGAGGCGGGAAGATTGTAAGTTGAAGCCCAGCCTGGACAACTTAGTGACTTAGCAAGAACTTGTCTTTAACAAAAAAAAATTCTGGCGCTCTAGCTCAGCGCAAACTCCCTGGGTTCAATCCCCATTACTACAAAAAGAAATAGACACATAAAAAGCAGGGAAAGGGGGTGGCCCAGCTTGATGCACCCCAATGTCCACAAATGTTAGAGGTGTCACTTGCATCCCGCTTCAGCTCCGGCTCCCATCCCCAGACACAGGTGCCCATATACATGCCACAAATCCCAGGCCTGGGCCTATCCCCAGCGAGTCTGGTGTCCCTGAACCCCAGGCCAGGCTCTCACCCCTGCCCGCGTGTTTCAGACGTGGAGCACAGCATGGGGCTGATGCACAGCGGGGCAGTGTATGCACTCTGGGACTACAGCGCCGAGTTCGGGGATGAGCTGTCCTTCCGCGAGGGCGACTCGGTCACTGTGCTGCGGAGGGACGGGCTGGAGGAGACCGACTGGTGGTGGGCAGCGCTGCACGGCCAGGAGGGCTACGTGCCGCGGAACTACTTCGGGGTGAGCCTGGCAGGCAAAGAGGGAGGAGAGGGCCGCGCACTACAGTGGGTGAGGGGGGCCGGAAAAGTGCACTGCTGGTCATGGGGGGAGGAGGAAAACCCATTGTAGTAGGAGGTGGAGGGAGGGGGCAGGTATTTACCTCAGTGGTGCCCAGCCTGCCCCGCAAGCCCAAGGTCCTGAGTTCAATCCCTGGTAGGAGAAAAAAAAAAAAAAACAGGCTAAGGGAGAGCCCCTTCCTAGTGCCAGCTAAGGGCTGGCACTACTGCATTGCTTATTTGATTTGTGCTCAGTCAAATGTTTTTATTGGGCTGGGGATGTGGCTCAGTGGCAGAGCACTTGCCTAGCATGGCCCTGGGTTCCATCCCCAGCAGTGGGGGGGGGGATTATCACCCCCGCTATTAGTGGAGAGATTAAAGGATCTATTTTAGCCAAGGAGTGCATTGAAAAAACCCATTTTACTGATGGGGGAATTAGAGAGTTGTCTATTATGGGCAGGTCGGAGAGTATTTTGTTACACAGCACTGGGAAGGGGGAGGAAGAATCCCTTAATATAATCACAGCAGAAAGCCAGGTGTGGTGACACACACCTGTAATCCCAGCACTCAGGAGGTTGAGGTAGGAAGATCTCATGTTCAAGGCCAGCCTGAGCTACCCCCAAATCACAGCAGAACTGAGGATGAGTCTACTAGGTTGGGGGATGTTTCCGTTATACTCCTAAGAGAGAATATTTCTTTAATTTGGGAGTGGGTGGAGGTGGGACCCAACCAGACCACTGTGGTGGCAAGGAGACTTACAGTATTCAACTTTATCAGTAGAGCTGCTGACTGGAAGGCTCCATATGGTCCTTGGAGGTGACAAGGGACTCAGGGATTCTGGGAGGATGCTGCTGGGGGGAGGACAAGGGCGGGAGTGTCTGGTGTATGTCTAAGGTTGCCTTTCCTCAGCTCTTCCCCAGGGTGAAGTCGCAGAGGAATAAAGTCTAGCAGGACAGAGGACGTCTCTCAGGGAGACAAGAGCATCACCTGCCTGTGCCCCAGACCTTAGACCCACCTCTCCGTTTATGCTGCGCCCCTCACCCTGCAGGCCTGGGGCCTTCACCCCCACTCCCTGCTCCCCCAGAAGCCCAGGAGAGGAGAATCCTAGCCTTAGGTTTAGGAACCTGCCTTAGCCATGGAAAGTCCAGGGAATGGGGCTGGAATCTTGTTTTTTTTCTTTGTGGTACTGAGGATTGAATGCATGGCCTTCATACTAAGCTACATCCCCAGCCTTTTGTTTATTTTTTGTTTTGAGACAGGGTCTCGATAAGTCACTACATTGCCCATGCTGGGCTTGAATTTGCAATCCTCCTGCCTCAGCTTCCTAGAGTGCTGGGATTATAGGCAATTGCCACCATGCCGGCTGGACTGTGAATCTTTGGGGACAGGATACTTCCTACATTTGCCAAATCAGATCCATCCAAAGTGCCTCCCACTCCTACTGCTAATGGCCCAAACCCTGGCCAGCCAACGTGCCATCCTAGCTGAGCCTGGGGTGGATGACCTCATCTCTTTATTGCTCTGGGAGTCACCTCTGACCTCTTATTTCCCAGTAGACTGGATCAGGGTGGTGCACATTGGTCTCTTCCAGGATCCCTCTCCCCCCTCTCCCCATTAAGTGCCTTCCCACAGTGCTGGTTTTATGTGTATAACAAGATGGGGAAAGTTTTCCTCATGAATAAAAGTAGTTTATTAACTTCTCTTTTGATTTTGACTCAATAAATGCTCATAGTGGTGTGTGTGTGTGTGTGTGTGTGTGTGTGTGTGTGTGTGTGTCTTGGTGCAGGGTATGAATCCAGGGCTGAGCTACAACCCCAGCCCCTGGCAAACCAGTCTTAAAGCAACTGGTTTTTAAGGGATTTCCCTCACCACAGTCCAATCCTTCCTCTTTTTCAGGCTTTGAATTCTTTTGTGTCTCTTACTTTACAGTATGTATTGGTTAGCTTTCATCACTATAAAAAAATACCGGAGGCAAGTGAATTTCAAAAAATTATTCAGCTCACACTTTGAGAAACTGAACATCCAAAGAGCAGAGCAGAGTGTGGCCAGGGTCTCCTGTGGTGGGAGTGCCTATAGGAAGAAGGAGTCCTAGCTTTTGAACTCGTGGCAATCCCCCTGCTTCAGTCTCCCGAGTGCTAGGATTAAAGGTGTCCACCATCATGCCCTGCAGAAGAGCTCCTCTCTTGACTGGGAAAGCCTGAAAGCAAGTCAGGGATCAGCCCCAGGCCTTTATAACAACTCTCTAGCTCTAGCGAGAACTACTTAACTCCTCCCTAAGCCACACCCCCAGACCTAAGGACCTCCCACTAGGACCCACCTCTTAAAGGTCCCCTTTGCTCCTACATTGCCTCCCTGAGGCCAAGCATCCAACACTCAGATCTTTGAGGGACAAACCACACCTGAACAATAGCATAGTATATGCCTGAAAGTCCTGTCACCTGAAGTCTGGGAACATTTACTCCAATAATTAGTTGTGTCTGCTGGCTGTCATTTCCTCACGTGTGTTCAAATTAAGGGTTGCGAGATTGTGATTAACAGGGTCAGACCTAGGGACATCCAGGTCTGGCCTCTCATCTTCTAGTTCATAAACTCCTCCCTCCCTCTTTCCAGTGCTGGACTTTGAATCTTGGGCCTTGCACATTAGTCTCTGAATATTGCAAATATTTCTAACTACAGACCCCTTTTATGGTCCCCTCCCACACTTTTTTCTGTACTGGGGATGGACCCAGGGCCTCACACATGCTCAGTGAGCGCTCTTTCATTGAGAAAACCTGCAACCTTTTTTATATTATATTATTTTATTTTATTTTTTTGGTACCAGGGATTGAACTCGGGACCTTCCACTCTCGAGGCAGGCGGCGGCACCACTGAGCTAAATCCCCGGCCCCTTTTTATATTATATTTTGAGACACGGTCTCACAAAGTTGGCCAGACTGACATGGATCTTACAATCCTCCTGCCTCAGCCTCCCAAATAGCTGGGATTACAAGCATCGTGCCATCATGCTCAGCTCTGTGTGTGTGTGTGTGTGTGTGTGTGTGTGTGTGTGTGTGTGTGTGTGTGACAAATCCTAAGTCTCCTGCACTGGCTGTGGGAGAGGAATCCTCTAGTCGGCTGTGGGATTGGGGTGCCAGGCGGACCCTTGGGTGTGGAGTCACACTTCCTAGAGCAGTGATTCCCGCAGCTCCCAGGACCTGCAAGGTGAGTGTCTTCCTCTTGTCCTGCAGGTGGCGCGGTGGTCTCCTCATCCTGGCCTTGCCCCTCCTCTTTTCTGCCGGGTTCTGCTCCATCTTTCCTTTTCCTGGTACGTTGTTTCCTTGGTTTATTCCTCTCCTGCCGAGTTGATGGCAGGACAGGAGATAAATGCGTGTGGCCTGTGCTATGGTGTGGATGTGGTTTCTCCCTCTCCCAGGTGCTTGGCCCCTGAGGCGATGGTATTGAGAAGGGATGGGACCTTTAAGAGGCCGGGACTCGTGGGAGGGGATTAGGTCATGGGGGTTCTGCCCCTGGGAAGGACTAATGTGGGTCTCTAGGGACCGGGTTGGCTACCAAGACAGCGGGTTATAAAGGGGCACCCACACCTAGACTATTCTTCATGCGCCCCTCACTGTTCTTGCCTGTGTTCCCACCCTGCAGTGCTATCCATGATGTTATAGTGGAGCAAAGGTTCTTGGCAGATGTGGCTTCCCAAGCTTGCACCTTTCAGCCCCCAGAACTGTGAGCCAACTAAATATCTGCTTCATAAATCATCCAACTCACATATTTTGTTATAGCAATACGAAAGTGACTAAGACAGTCATTTTACCTTTTTCTTTAACATCTTTCTGAAATGTAAACCTGATCACATCTCTACTCTTCTGAGAACAAATCCCCAGCTCCCACTGCCCTCAAAATTGAAACCTTGAGGCAGGCATGGTGGTGTACAGCTGTAATCCCAGCACTCAGGAAGCTGAGGCAAGAGGATCATCATGAGTTCAAGGCCAGCATGCACTACATAGTGAGTTCAAGGGCAGCATGAACTGCATATTGAGACCCTGTCTCAAAAAACCAAAAACCAAAACCCAAAATATCTAAACTTTAAAAAAAACTAAAACAACTTTATTAAACCAAAAATCTGCATACCACACAACTTACAAACTTAACATGAAAGATTCAATAGACCCCAGGACATTGACAGAATTGTAGAAACACAATCACAATCCAACTTAGGTCTTTTTTTTTGGTACCGGAGATTGAACTCAGGACCTTGCGCTTTCGAGGCAGGTGAAGCACCAGCAATCTAAATCCCTGGCTCCAAACACAGGTAATTTTTGCCGTCCTAAATCAATACAGCTTGCCTGCTATGTATCATCTCCCAATCCCTCCCCCTAAATCTAGGTAACCACTGAGTGACTCTCTATCTTCATAGATTTTCCTATTCTGGGAATTTCCTCTTTTTCTTTCAAAATAGACCGTGCTCACAACAACAATAAAGACTTTAATATATGGAAAGAAGTATAAATTCTGTGAGGTGAGCCCTCACACCATATAAGAGCGAAGCCAGACACTGACAATGGAAACATAATATAATTACTTTTTTCCCTTCTTTTTTCTCTCTCTCCTCTTTCCTATTAAGTTTTTCATATAAGGGAAACCATACAATGTACAAGCTTGTGTGTCTGATTTACTTCACTTAATATTATGGTCTCAAGGTACATCTCAGCCCAAATCTAAACTTCTGGGGCCAGAGATATAGCTCAGCGGTGCAATGCTTGTCTGGCAAGCGAAAGCCCTGAGTTCGATTTCCAGTACCACAAAAAATTAATAATAATAAAATAAACTTCTAGAAGGCTTCGTATGCCTGATCCCTGCTGGTGTCCCTGGCTATGACTTCCAATCAGCCCTTCAGCCTGACATTGTGGCCACCTGCACAAACTGCTAGGTCCCCCTGCTCATCTTCTCTGAGCGACACATCCTTGGCCTGGAAATTTACCACTATAGAGACTAGGAAAGGTCCTCTGCTCACTCACTGCACCCCAGTTTCCCTGTCCTAATGAAATGGATCATGGTTCTTTTTCTGTGATAGCCTTTATGCAGTTTCCTGTATGTTTAATCTTGTTCTCTGAGGACAGCAAGTGAGACAGTTATGATCACCTTTGTGTTCCCAAGGTCCAGCACAGGGTCAGGAACATGGTTGAGTCTCATGACTGTTTGTTGAACAGACAAATAAGAGAAAGGTTACTGTATTTTGTTTTTTGCAGTCCAGGGGTTTGAACTTAGGACCTTGTACATGCCAGGTAAGTACTCTACCACTGAGCTACAGCCCTCATTTTTAATTTTTTTTTTTTAGGCAAGGTTTTTCTAGGTAGTACAAGGTGGCTGTAAACTCATCATGTACCCTGGGTTGACCTTGAACTCCCATCCTCCTGCTTCAGCCTCCCAATTGCTGGGATTATAGGCATGCACAACCACAGCATGCTTTTCTTTTTGTTTTTTGGAGACAGGGGCTCACTATGTAGCCCAGGCTGGCCTCCAGTTTCAGGAAATCCTCCTGTTTTAGCCTCCCGAATGCTGGGGTCACAAGTGTGCACCACCTTGCCTGGCTACACTTTATTGAATGCTTAATTTATTTATTTATTTTTGGTACGGAGGGTAATTGAACTCAGGACCTTGTGCTTGCGAGGCAGGTGTGGTGCCACTGAGCTAAATTACCAGTCCTGAATGCTTACTTTTTACAGCATTCGGTTTTAACTGGTTCATGTGGATTAATCTAAGTGTCACCTATCTTGTAGATAGCCTAATTGCTCCTACACCTCAGATGAGATGGTGGAAGCCCAGAAAAGTGAATGTGTTGAACAAAGTCACACAGTGAATAGTCTGTGGAGCTGGGCTTGGGACCCATGTGATCTAGTTCAGAGCCCGCACCTTAGCTACCAAGCCCCACTTCGTTTCCATTACTTCCCAATTAAAAGACTTAGCCCAGAATCTGGCAAATAGTAGGTGCTCATTAAGTGGGAGATCTCACTTCTTCTAAATCTAGCATGCTTTTTTATAAATGCACTTTTTTCCTTAAATTCTTTTATTGGTACATTTTAGGTATGCAATACATTTACATTTATCATTAGGTCCTTGTACCTGTGCATGATGTATCTTGGTTCTTATTTTTTTCCCCATTACCTGTGCACCATTCACCCCCTCCACCCTTCTCTATTTACATAGACTTCATTTCCTGTATTTTTCTTTTCTCATAATTTTTCCTTTCCCTTCTTTCCTTTCCCTTCTTTCCTTTCCCCTTCCCCTCCCACCACCCCTACCCCTTTGGACCTTTTCTTCCTATTTCAAATTATCAATTATTCATTTTAATCATTTTAATCCTTATTTACACTTTCAGTTTCTCACACTAGAGAAACTATTCGGTATTTACACATGTGGGTCCTATTTATTTCACTTAAGAGTATGGCCTCAATATGCATCCATTTAGCTATAAATGTCTCTAGTTTCTTGTTCTTTACGGCTGAGTAGTACTCCATTTTATAAAAAAAAACAAAACCCACATTTTCTTTATCCAGTCACCAGTTGATGGGCACTTGGGCTGTTTCCAAGCTTTAGCTATTACAAACTGTGCCGCTATAAACATTGGTGCACATATATTGCTGTGGTATGATTCTTTTACTTCTTTTGGGAAGATACCCAGCACTGGAATAGCTGGGTCAAATGGGACCTCTAGCCCTAGTTCTTTGAGGTATCTCCATACTGATTTCCACAGTGGTTGCACCAGTCTGCACTCCCACCAATAAATGCATGATTTAATGAAGCGAATCCGTCATTAATTTGTGTGCCCCAAAGGGATCTCCAATTTCCCTGTCATTCTCCCCTAAAGTATTCGCTGCTCAACCTGGGCAGACAGAGGAAGATTTAATGCAGATGAATTGGATCGATTATCTCGGCTCTCTTTCTTGCTTGTTTTGTTCTTATTTCTCGGCGATCCTCAGCAATGCCTCCAGCATCGCCTCTTCCTGAAATCCGCCCTTGCGTCTCTATGCGCACGCGCAGTATTCCGATTGGCTCCGCCCCGGCGGAGTGACGGGCTTCATTGGCCAATGGAGCTATGAGGAAGGTGGAGCAGCTCCCGGGGAACGCCCACACCCCTGCCCTCACTGAATATTCATGAGAGGCTCTTGGCGGAGCTGCACGGCGCGGTCGCCGCCATGAAGTGAGGAGGGGGTCAGAGATACGTCCGCCTGAGGCTGGAGGGATCTGGAAGATGGGGGGACGGGTGGGCGAGAAGCTGAAGGGGTGGGATGAGGCTGCTGCTGGGACCAGAGAGGTGGCAACGGCATGCAAGCAGGGAGACTTGGGAATCTGCTCCTGGGGAACTTGGAGCCGTCGGGCTCGACGGCGGAGGGTTATGGAGCTCGGAGAGGGGGCGAGGGGGCGAGGGGGCGAGGGGTCGGGTCTGACTCGCAACCCCACGCCAGGCTCAACGTGGACGGGCTGCTGGTCTACTTCCCGTACGACTATATCTACCCCGAGCAGTTCTCGTACATGCTGGAGCTCAAGCGCACGCTGGACGCCAAGGTGGGCCCCCGGCCCGCGCCGCCCCCCTGACAGGTGGCATAGCCTCGCGTGGGTCTGAAACTGAGACTGCGACACGTCTGGGTTTTAAAATCCCGAGGCCCTTAGGGCCAGGGATTTAGCTCAGTGGTTCCGACACCTGCCTGGCAAGCGCAAGGTCACGAGTTCAATCCCCGGTACCAAAAGAAAAGAAGACTCTAAAAGTCCAAGGCCCTGGAGCTGGGTACGGTGGCCCATACCTGTAATCCCAGCAGTTTGGGAGGCTGAGGCAGGAGGATCGCAAATTCGAGATCACCCTGGGCAATTTAGCGACTTAGACCCTGTTTCAAAATAAAAAAGGGAAAAATAAAAAGGCTGTTGCTGTAGCTCAGGGAGAAAGCCCTGAGTTCAATCCCCTACACTGAAAAAAAAAAAGGAAAGAAAACAGTAAAAAGGGGAATGGGGGCCACTGATCCTGCCTCGGGAATCCAGGACTCCAAAATCTCCCGCTATCCAAAATAATGGCTAATAATAGTAGCAACTAATAGTTATCGAAGATCGAGTCTCCCCATGGTTAGAAATATATTAGTCTCTTAGGTGGCTTGGAATCCTGGACCCATTGATTCCTAGCTGTGCACTCTTAGGCAAATCATTTAACTTTTAACCTATAGAATGTGAACATTGGGGCCTGCCTAGCATGTGGGAGCAGACCCTGGATTCCATCCCCAGCACCATTTCAAAAAATGGAAGAAAGAAAAGCTGGGGCTATAGTGACAGTACCTACTTCATAGGTTGTGAGGGTCATGTGACTTCATACAGTAAAGTGAGCAGTTCTCTGCTAGGGTTGATCTTGATGCCCAAGGCCGTTTGGTAATGACTAGAGATGTGCTGCTTGTCACACCAGTGCAGGGGTTAGGCTCCTGGCATCTAGCAAGTAGGTACAGGCTATGGAAGCTGCTAACAACCTACTGTGCACAGTTAGAACCCCATAACCAAATGTTTTCTGTCCCCAAATGTCAATAGAGCAGAGGTTGAAAGACACTGATATAAATAGCACTAAACACAGAGTAAGTCCTGTGGAAGTTTGTTTTTCAGTACTGAGGATTGGACCCAGGGCCTTCACACTAAGCTACATCACCTAACCCTTTTTTAATTTTTTATTTTAAAACAGGGTCTCACTAAGCTGCTACATTGCCTAGGCTAGAGTGCTGGGGTTGCAGACCCATGCCCCTACACCCAGTGATGTGGAAATTTTTGCTAATTTAAAGAAAAAGGATTCACTGTCAGATACTACGTCTTACATTAAACCTATGATTTCTCACTAGTCCTCACAGTCGTGCTATAAGTGAGAACTTATTAGGGCCATTTTAGAGATGAGGGTACAGTCGCCCAGCAAGGTAAAGATGCTTGCTTTTTTTTGGTAGTGGGGATCAAACTCTGGACCTTGAGCTTGCAAGGCAGCCGCTGGAACCACTGAGCTAAATCCCCGGGCCTAAAGGTACTTGCTTAAGACCTTCAACAAGAAGGTGGCAGAGCCAGGGATGTAGCTCAGTGGTGCTACACCTGCCTGGCAAGCACAAGATCCCCAGTTCCATCCCTAGTACCAGAAAAAAAAATAATTTGGCAGAAGTGGGGTTCAAACCTACCACCAAGGTGCAGAATTTTAACTGCCCCGTTGTCCTGCTGTTTCTGGGTGGTGGCATGGGGGAGAGGGTCCCCAGAGTTTGTGACCCTGACGTTCTGAGAGCCCATGTCTTGTCTCTCCTGCCCTAACACACAGGGCCATGGAGTCCTGGAGATGCCCTCAGGTACTGGGAAGACAGTGTCTCTGCTGGCCCTTATCATGGCCTACCAGTGGGTGAGTGAAGCCTGTGGCATGGAGGGGAATGTGGCGAGGGGCTGGATGGGGACTGAGCCACTTGTCGTTGGCAGGCATATCCACTGGAGGTGACCAAACTCATCTACTGCTCAAGGACTGTGCCCGAGATTGAGAAGGTAGGCCAGGATCCTGTACTCCATCCCCTTTCCCGCATTGGTCCTTATCAGCCTGCGGGTGCTCAGGACCTTGGAGAAGAGATGGGGCTTGGCTGGCAGGGGCTTGTGCTTCCGGTGAGACCGAGTCCCTCTCTCCATCACTTGAGCAGGTGATTGAAGAGCTGCGGAAGTTGCTCAACTTCTACGAGAAGCAGGAGGGCGAGAAGCTGCCATTTTTGGGGCTGGCTCTGAGCTCCCGAAAGAACCTGTGTATTCATCCTGAGGTGAGCCCCCTTTCCTGACCCTGGGCCTCGGCTTGGGGTTGAGGAAACTTCCATCCAACCACGAGTCCCAGATTCCTAGACCAGACCTATTGGGGATACGGATGGGTCATGCACGAATTCCCTTTCTTTTTTTTTTTTCTTTTGGTATTACTGGGGATTGAACTCAGGACCTTGTGTTTGTGAGGCAGGTGCAGTGCCACTGAGCTAAATCTCCAACCCACGAATTCCCTTTCTGCTGAACTTTCTGATTCATTTTCTGTGGCCCAGCTAGTGCACCTCCTACAGGGACCCTTCCTACTGCCCGCTGACTGGGAGAGGTTGAAAGGCAGCTCCTGGAGGCCTGAGGCCTAGTTTCCTGACTCTGAAACTTAGCAGCTGTGCACTTTTGGACGCGTGATTTTTGCCATGTGGGTTCAGTCTTCCCTTCTGTAAAATGGGGACGATTAGGTCCCTGCCTCATAAGTTCATGTAGTGAAGCCCTTAGCACATACGAAGAGCTAAAAGAATGTCAGAAATTATCATGAAGCCAGGCCCAAGGCACATGTTTTTAATCCTAGCACTTGGGAGGCTGAGGCAGGAGGATTATGAGCTCAAGGCCAGCCTGGATTACATAACCAGACCCTATCTTAAAAAAACAGAACTGTGATACTTATATACATAATAACATATGATATAGAATATTTAAATTATATTACAAAACCAGTGTGTTCACTGTGTGCCAGGCGCTGCTCTAAGCAGCTGACATGTGACAAGTCATAGTGTACTTATCGCATCACATTATTTGTAAGAACACTGAGAAATAATACAAGTGATGATGAAAAGAAGTCAGCGCTGATGCACTGGGGAAGGCAGAGCGGAGGGGCTGCAGCCCCCCGAGCTGCCCTCTGGTGAAGGAAGAGGTTTTGCCCTCTGGAAAGGCCTTGGATAAGGGTCCTCAGACGGTGGAGCAGAACCCCTCTGTCTCTTCGACCTTGCCAAGCAAGTTTCCATGCATTTTGGCGTGTCACGATGAACTGTTGTCAGCCTCTACGTGAATGTTTCTTCAGCATTAATTTTGAAATTTCTTCCTGTGGTGCTGGGTGTGGAGCCCAGGCCTTGTGCATGCTCCACAAGTGCCCTGACCCCGAGCTACACCCCAGCGCACAGCTTCATGTTTTAAAAATACAGTTTGAGCATCCCAAAAATCCAAGATTAAAATGCTCCAGTATCTGAAACTTTTTTTTTGGTGTTTTGAGACAGAGTCTTGCCGTATAGTTCAGGCTGGCCCTGAACTCACTATGTAGTGCAGGCTGGTTTTGAACTCACGGTGATCCTGCCTCAGCCTCCCACGTTCTGGGATCACAGGTGTGTGCCACCATGCCCGGCTAGGATCTGAGACTCTGAGGGCCAGCATGACACCACAAGTGGAAAACACACCTGACCTCATATGACAAAGTCAAAATGCAGGTGCACTCAAAGTACTGTATTATGTGTACAAGGTGCATGTGAAACATAAATGAATTTCATGTCTGGATTTGGGTCCTAGCCCCAGGATGTCTTACTATGTGTATGCAACTATTCCACACTCTGAAACTATCTGAAATCTGAAACACTTCTGGCCCCAAGCTTCCTGGGTTAGGGACATGGAGTCCACCAGGTCTAGGGTCGAAACTGTTCCCATCAGGCCTCTCAGTACTGTCCCAGGTGTCTTAACTGATAGCAAAATAGGCTGAGGTTCTGTTGTCCAAAAATCCCAGCCGGCCTCAAGTCCCAGCCAGCTGTGAGGCGTGAGGCCCAGCGTGGAGGAATGGTTCGGACTGCAGCCTGTCTCAGCGCTAAGATATCCCCATTCCCCCAGGTGACACCTCTGCGCTTTGGGAAGGACGTGGATGGGAAATGCCACAGCCTCACAGCCTCCTACGTGCGGGCACAGTATCAGCAGGATGCCAGCATGCCCCACTGCCGTTTCTACGAGGTGTCTGGGGGGCCGGGGTGGGGGTCCAGGTGCATGGGGCAGCCAGTCTCCCTGACCCCTGCCACCCTCTTGACTTGTCCAGGAGTTTGATGCCCATGGGCGCCAGGTGCCCCTCCCCACTGGCATCTATAACCTGGATGACCTGAAGGCCCTGGGGCAGCGTCAGGGTTGGTGCCCGTACTTCCTGGCCCGCTACTCGGTAAGGGGCTCTGTTTGCCTGTCTGTCCCTGGCCTGCGTGGCCCTATCTGTGCTTGTCTTTCCTTGTGTTACTTCTGTCGTGGTGGAGAGTGGCAGGACCCAAGTAGCCACTGGCAGAAAGGCCCAGGTTACTGTGCCCTCCCACCCCCCAGATTCTGCATGCCAACGTGGTGGTGTACAGCTACCATTACCTGCTGGACCCCAAGATTGCTGACCTAGTGTCCAAGGAGCTAGCCCGCAAGGCTGTCGTGGTCTTTGATGAGGCCCACAACATTGGTGAGGAGGGAACCAGGGTGCACAGGTGACAGCCCTGGACCCTGCACCCCCAGCCTGCCTGAGCCCGGCTGCCCCCTTCCCTAGACAATGTCTGCATCGACTCTATGAGCGTCAACCTCACCCGCCGCACCCTGGACCGGTGCCAGGCCAACCTGGACACCCTGCAGAAGACGGTGCTCAGGTGCGGGGGTGGGGGATGGACGGACAGGACACCCGGCACTCTCCCAGCTCCCTGTGCAGGCCCCAGGGACACCAGCCGGTCCCAGCCCCGCCTGTGTCCCTGCAGGATCAAGGAGACCGATGAGCAGCGGCTCCGGGATGAGTACCGGCGGCTGGTGGAGGGGCTGCGGGAGGCCAGCGCAGCCCGGGAGACAGATGCCCACCTGGCCAACCCTGTGCTGCCCGACGAGGTGTTGCAGGGTGAGCGCTGCCCCTCTGCCCAGCACTGCCTGCTCAGGGCACCCCTGCCCACTGACCCTGTCTCCCCACAGAGGCGGTCCCTGGCTCCATCCGCACTGCCGAGCACTTCCTGGGTTTCCTGAGACGGCTGCTGGAGTTCATCAAGTGGCGGCTGCGTGTGCAGCACGTGGTGCAGGAGAGTCCCCCCGCCTTCCTCAGCAGCCTGGCTCAGCGTGTGTGCATCCAGCGCAAGCCCCTCAGGTGTGGTGGCCGTGTTGGGAGGGGACACCCAGACCCTGGCTGGTCCTACTGGGCAGGCCCTGGGTGAGGCTGGGCCCAGCAGTCAGCACAGCCAGATGAGAGCATTTGCCAGAAGACAGTTTAATGAAGACACCATTCCTGTGGGGGGCGGTGTAGGGCACATAGGGGACCGATCAGAGGAGCCAGCGGGGTGGGAGGCCCTGGGACTTGAAGGAACATGAAGTCCCTACCACCCCAGGGCAGGGGAGAAGCAGCACTGATGCCCTTTCTTTGGTGCGGGGGACAGAAGCCAGGGCCTAATGTGTGATAGGCCAGTGCTCCACCACAGCCCCAGCCCACCCTGGACATGGGTGAGGATCTGCCAGACAGACAGAGGCTCCCAATGGAAGCTGAGAGCAGAGCCCTAAGGCCTGGCAGGACCCTAGCTGGAGGGTGCTCTCCAGACCCCTGCGCGTGTCGCCTGCCAGCACCACCCTCCCCACCAGGCCCAGCACGGGGCCTCCCCATGGTGCAGGCGGGTTGCTGGGGCCTTGGTAGGAGGGCGGTTCCCGGACCTCCCCTTTGCTGCCTTGGGTCTTTAGTCTCCCCTCCCCCAGTTTCCTCCTTTACAAATGGGTGGGGAGTCATCCTTACCCCACAGCTTCCCGTGGTGGTTATGAGAAGGCAGCAAAGCAGGTAATGCCACCCTGCCACCCCCAGCTTGGGCGTCCCCTGTGTGGTGACCTGACTGCCCATGAGGGCACAGGGGCTCTGAGTGGGGGCGTCCCTGGAGTCAGCCCCAGCACGGTTCTCGGGACTGAAGCCTAGCCCTGCAGAGCTGGGCTCTGAGGCCCTGGCTGCTTTGTCCCTGGGGTAGAATGACATGCTGTCCTCCACCTCAGCAGGGGACTTGTGAGGGCACAGAGGCTCTCAGTCACTCACAACATGTTCCTCACACACCTGCAATGTTCTGGGTACACAACAGTGACCCAGACAGCCCAGGGCTGCCCACATGTGGCTCACAGCCCGGTGCAGGAGGTAGACTCGTCCCCAGATAGGGACGGCCGAGAGCAGGCAGAGCCAGGGAGGCCGAGGGCACCTGAGCCAGCCTGGAACAGAGCAAACAGGCTCCTGGGGGTGGGGGGTGGTTGTGTCCCTTTCTGCACATGCAGCACTGTGAGGCTCTGGGTGTGAGCGTGTGGCCCTGAAGCTGTGCTGGATTAGTGTGACCGTGGGGTTCTGGGGGTGCTTGTGTGACAAGCGACCGTGTGACTAGGGTGTAGTCGTTGCTGGGTATGTGCCACGATGTACTGGGGCTCCGTGGTACGCAGCTGTACAGTGTGGGGACACAGAAGTTTCTGGGACAGGCCCTTGTTCCTGGTCTCACGGCACCCAGTTACGGGGGATGTGGCCACGTGCTCTGACGGAGGACAGGGGTCCTGACCCTGCTCCCTCTGTGCCCTGCCCGGGTCTCACCTCCCCTCCCCACTAGATTCTGTGCCGAGCGCCTCCGGTCCCTCCTGCACACCCTGGAGATTGCTGACCTCGCTGACTTCTCTCCACTCACGCTCCTTGCTAACTTCGCCACCCTCGTCAGCACCTACGCCAAGGGTAAGCACGCCTCCTCCTGCCTCTGGCACCCCGGCATCAGGAATCAGCGCCCAGCCATGTCCACAGAGCGTTGACGGCAGGAGCCTGGGCACAGGGAGCCCTGTGGGACTAGGCTTGGGGCTTGGCCCTATTTTATGTTCTCGAGTGAGTGAGCCTCATGCTCAGATTTGTATTTCCAAAGGCTCCTTCTGCCTACAGAGGGTAGCATGGGGTGGGCCCTTGTGTGAGGACAGAACTGCTGTGGGCTTAGCTCACACTACATCCAAGGGCACTGGGGAGCCACACCAGGTTCTGAGCAAGGGAGGTTCCAGGTCACGTTTGCACTTTAGAAGGATTCTTCCAGCAGGAACTGGAGGTAGCAGTTGGCATGGAGGCAGGGACTTGAGCAGGGTGGGGGCATCAAGGGCACAGAGAAAAGGAGGAAGAGATGGGGTGAGGAGGAAAGGATGATGCTCGGATCTCTAGCCTGCAGGAGCGGTAGCTCTGGTTAGGTTCTGTCCCCTCCCCAGCATTAAGCTACCGAGCTCAGTGTGATCCCTGTGGATTACTGGTCTATCCAGGAAACCAGGTCAGGGCTGGCCGCCTGCAACTGGGCTTCACCTGGGCAGGAGGACGGATCCTCTGTCCCCAGCACATGCACAGGCATGCACACACATGCACGCACACTCACACCTGCAGCAAGCCCTGCCTGCCATCCTCTGCCCTTCTTCCCTCTCAGCCCTGGTCACTCTCCCCTCCCCATTTCCGGTCTGCCAACAGCTCATGTTCTTTTACACACTTCCCGCCTTCATCCCCAGCTGTCCCCTCATCCTCCCTCCTCAGCTCCACAAAGATGCCCCCTCCAGGAAGTCCTCCCTCACCTGCAGGGCCCCTCTGTCCAGCTCTGCCTGCTGGGAACCCTCACTCAGTGAGGACAGACCTCCTCCTGACTGCACTGCCAGCCTGTCACCACTGTGTCTTCAGCACAGGGCAGGGCCCAGCACAGGGAACTGGGTTTTCTTACTAAGTGCAACTGCATATTCAGCAGACACCATGCCCAGCGCTGTGGAAGCAGCTGGCAATCCAAAGACCTGGGGCTGGGGATGTAGTCCGGGGCACAGTGCCTGCCTAGCAGGCTAAGACCCTGGGTTCCTGGCCTAGCACTGTAAAAATATCTCCCAAACCAAAAACCTCACCCATAGCCTCTTGGAAGTTAAATTCTAGAGGAAAAAACCAGTAACAAAGACTCATGGAGACATGAGTTCCAGAAAATTGTTGCTGGCAGCACACAGGCCTGCCAGGGCTGCCCGGAGGCAGCCTTTTGAGCCAACAAGCCGCCCTGGGACACTCCCCAGGCTGTTCGCAGGGTAGTAGGGGCTGGCAGGGAGCAAGGAGGAGATGAGGGCGCCCACTGGGCCCCAGAGCCAATTCTGGAAGCCCAGAGAGGAAGGGGCGGGACCTGAATGGGGATTCCGCAGGGTTTCTGTGGCCGCAGCATGGGAGCAGAACCAGTTGGGGCAGGGGAAGCCTTGAGTTTCAGATGGGTTTTGCAGGCAGAGCCTCAGAGGGAAAGGCAGTGGGGCCCCTCCTCATGCCTACAGCTGCCCTCTTTATGCTGGCAGAGCGTGGGTAGCTGAGAGCCCTGGGCTCTGCTCCGCCTGCCTGTGCACCTTTGCAAAGAGGTCGGTGCAGCAGGGGAGGCTGGGATATGTTCACTGGGCCTCAGTGCTGGATTTGGGACTTGGTCCCCTGTATTCCCTGGGACAGGGTCCGGGTGTGGTTGTGACCACAGTGAGGCTCTCACCTGCCCTTCCTGCCCTGTAGGCTTCACCATCATCATTGAGCCCTTCGATGACAGGACCCCGACTATTGCCAACCCCATCCTGCACTTCAGGTGGGCCCTGCCTCAAGGGGCAGGAGTGGACCTGGGGGTATCCTGGCCTCCTGGCCTGGTCCTCACTGCCGTATCTGCTCCTCAGCTGCATGGATGCGTCCCTGGCCATCAAACCTGTGTTCGAGCGCTTCCAGTCTGTCATCATCACCTCTGGGGTGAGGACCCTTCCTCTGTGCCCTCCAGTCCCCAGCCTTCCCTTCACCATGGGGGCCCTGCTCCCTGCCCAGTGCTGCTGAGAACCGTCCTGTGGTCCCCACTACAGACACTGTCCCCGCTGGACATTTACCCCAAGATCTTGGACTTCCACCCAGTCACCATGGCAACCTTCACCATGACTCTGGCCCGGGTCTGCCTCTGCCCCATGGTGAGTGAGCACCGGTGACTCCCTGGCCTGCGTCCACTCCTCTGAGGTGGGAATGTCACCGGGTCTCTGGGGCCCGGGGGAGGATTTAGAGAGAAAGGTGTAAAACTCTCACATTGCCCAGGCCTGGCAAAGAAAGATGCGTGCAGAGCGATGCGTGCCCTTCCGGTCACAGCCCTCTTCTGTTGCAGAGGGGTTTGGGGAGGCCAGGGGTGTGGCTCCACAGTCACCCAGAGGGGTGAGTCAGGCCGCTCCACACTTCGGGCAGGTTTTGCTACTGACTTCGTGCTAAGCTTAGAAGAGAATGTTTCCCGAGCTTTTGGTTTCTGGAATTGCCCGCCTGGACCTGTGGCCTGGTGATGACCGCCCACTGCAGGCTGGTGGTGAGGGCTGCTTGAGGGCACTGGTGGAAACAGTGTTTGGCAGCTGGCTGGCCCGAGCCGGGCTGGCTCCAGTGTAGCTGCTGCTGCTGAGTAAGGCCAGACTCGGCTCTTTCTCGGGTTTTGATCTGCTGTGTGACCCTGGGCAGGTAACCTGTCTTCTCTGAGCCTGGGACATTTGTCCATGTGATGCAGGTAAAAGGCGGCTGAGGGTTCCCTAGTGACACTGAGTCTGTACAAAGCTCTGAGTGGCAGTAGCAGGGTGGTGGCACTCAGGCTGCTGCCTCGCTCATCACGCATGACCTTCTGCTCGCTCCAGATCATCGGCCGTGGGAATGACCAGGTGGCCATCAGCTCCAAATTCGAGACCCGGGAAGACATTGGTACACAGCCTGGGGTGCCGTCTATGGGTCTCGAGAGGAGAAGTGTCAGATGGGCAAGGTTACGCTGCCACAGATGCCCCCAAAGCCTCCCCTAATAGAGCTTCTCCTAGCTGTGGTGCCTGGGTGTTGTGGGCGGCCTGGGAATGGTGACAGGAGGACCCATGTGACCATGGGGGATTGTGCCCTGGCTCCTAAGGGCACTCACCCGCAAGTGACACAGCCCCTTCTGCACTCACGTCACTTGCCATGACAAGTCACGTGGCCACTGCTCTCTTTGGAGGCCAGGAAGGAGGAGAGGTGGGGTACATGGGAGCCGCCCCTCCACACAGCCTCTGTGGAGGGCCTGGGAGCCCCAGGTTCAAGTCAGGAAGCAGGGGAAGCCCCCAGCAGGAGAGGGTTCAACATCTAGCCCCCCCCAGCGGTGATCCGGAACTATGGGAACCTCCTTCTGGAGATGTCGGCTGTGGTCCCCGATGGCATCGTGGCCTTCTTCACCAGCTACCAGTACATGGAGAGCACCGTGGCCTCCTGGTACGAGCAGGTATGCAGTGCTCCTCCACTCCTGGTGCTGTTCATTCTTCTCTTCTCAAGCGGGGCATCCGGGACACGAAAACAGTCTGTGGAGTAGGTGGCACCCACCCTGCCCCTGCACAGTCTGGAACTCAGTAGCCTGCCTGGCACATCCTCAGAGGCTCATGTACAGCAGAGGTGACCATACCCCCACTTTGTGGTCCTTTCGGGGTTCCCCGAGGTCCCCCCAGCACATGCTGCTTGTGTGAGGTGGCGCTGTTAGGGAAGGGTCTGGAGAGCCCTTTTGGGGTATGGCGTTCTGCAGGCAGGGTCACCCCTGCTGGGAGCCAGGGGTGGTGGGGCTGGGGAGACACCTGGACCCTCCATCTCCGAGCTCACCTGCCAGCCTTGGGCTGGGTGAGGACAGGCATGGCTGCCTGGTGAGTGGGGTGGGTCCAGGCTTGGGAACCTAGGGGCTGGCTGGGGACCTTGCCCCCCCAGGGCACTGGCTCTTTCTGCACAATGAGAAAGAGGCCATCTGAGCCCAAGGGCGATTTATTTCCCACTTAAGACCCCTCAGCTTTCCTCCTGGGAGCTCTGAGGTCCTTGCTGTCACGTCTGTGCCTCAGGTGCCTGGAACTCATCTGGGGAAGGCATGAGGTGTGAGGTGGCATCAGGTTCAGCCCTTCTACTTGCTGCTGTGCCATTTACTAAAAAGCTCTTCCTCCCCTGAGCTGCATGGGGGCCCTGGTCGTTCTGGACCCCTGGCTCTCCCTCACCGCTGCAGGGCTGGGTATAAACTCGGCAGCCTCTCGTGGGCCCTGGCTGGCACACAGCCGCTCCCCAGCCTCTCACTGCTCACCGCAGTGGAGCTGGACAACTGTCCCTTCTCTCCCTGAGACGTGCATGGGCAAGCTGACTGCCCCTCGCATAGGAGTCTGTGGCAGGGTGGGCTTAACCAGGACAGCTGTGCTCCTAGCTCCACCGGCCCACCCTCTGTCCCTCCCCAGGGCATCCTGGAAAACATCCAGAGGAACAAACTACTGTTTATAGAGACCCAGGATGGAGCTGAGACCAGTGTCGCCCTGGAGAAGTATCAGGAGGTGGGTGCGGTCTGGGGTGGGGGATGGTGAGGCTGTGCGGAGGGGACAGGAGTGACATGGTCTGATCCTCTGTCCCTAGGCCTGCGAAAACGGCCGCGGGGCCATCCTGCTGTCTGTGGCTCGCGGCAAGGTGTCCGAAGGCATCGACTTTGGTGAGTGGCCTGGCCTCCCCTCTGGGGTCCCGAAGCTCAGCCCTCAGGGCTGTGTGCCCCTGACCCTGCCCCTCTGCTGCAGTGCACCACTACGGCCGCGCTGTCATCATGTTTGGGGTCCCCTACGTCTACACCCAGAGCCGCATTCTCAAGGTGCGTGTGGGGCCGGACAGGGCCTGGCTGGGATGTGAGGGCAGAGAGCAGGGCAGGGCCTCGAGACCTCTGTCAGCCTGGCCCCCGGCCCACAGGCACGCCTGGAGTACCTTCGGGACCAGTTCCAGATCCGAGAGAATGACTTCCTCACCTTCGACGCCATGCGCCATGCAGCCCAGTGCGTGGGCCGGGCCATCCGGGGCAAGACAGACTATGGCCTCATGGTCTTTGCTGACAAGGTGGGGGTTCAGGGCTCCGCACCCTGCCCTCACCTCCAAGCCATCTTCCCAAGACGGGAGGGTGGAAGCGCCAGGGCCGCCAGGCTCTCTACCCCAGGGCCTGATGCCCTCCCCCTCCACTCCCAGCGCTTTGCCCGGGCAGACAAGCGGGGGAAGCTCCCGCGCTGGATCCAGGAGCACCTCACCGATGCCAACCTCAACCTGACGGTTGATGAGGGGGTCCAAGTGGCCAAGTACTTCCTCAGGCAGATGGCGCAGCCCTTCCACCGGGTGAGCCCCACCCGCCCACCTCACCACGGCCTGCTGGCCCAGAGTGGGGAAGGCTGGGGAGCTGGGGTGTGATGGCTGCCACCCCACCCTCCGGCTGCTCTTCTGTGACAGGGGTGCCCTCTCTGGATTTTAAGGACATTTCCCAATTCCCACATCCTGGCCCTCAGGCCCCCAAGTCTCAGACCGCGGTCCCTGATGGGTGCAGTGGGGCAGTTGTCTGAGTCCCATCTGACACCTTCCTGTCCCCTGCAGGAGGACCAGCTGGGACTGTCCCTGCTCAGCCTGGAGCAGCTGGAGTCGGAGGAGACGCTGCGGAGGATAGAGCAGATTGCGCAGCAGCTGTGAGTGGGGGCACAGCACAAAGGTATCCAGTGACCCTGGAGTCTTTTTGTTTGTTTCTTTAGTTTCTTGAGACAGAATGTAGTCCAAGCTGACCTTGACCTCAGTATGTAGCCCAGGCTGGCCTCAAACTCTTGGCACTCCTCCTGCCTCAGCCTCCCAAGTGTTGGAATTGAAGCGTACCCCACCATGCCTGGGTCTCCCCGAGTCTTGCCTGGCTCACAGGGGCCCTGACGGGCTTGAGGTCTCAGCAGTAACCCTCAGGTGGACATTCTTCACTGTCACATCTACAGAATTTAATCACAGGAGGGGAGGAAGTTGGGAAGCCCACTCCACGGGGCCCAGGTGGGGTGTCAGAGTGTATGAGAGCTGGATGTCCCCGCCCTCCCGCCTCTTCCTGAGAGGTCACAGCGATTTGGTCCTGTCCACCTCAGTGGGGGCTCAGGTCCTGGGTGCTGGCACTGAAGGTCCGAGAGGCCTCGCCCAAGGGCCGGCTGGGGAGCTGGGAACAGGCACAGAGGTGAGCAAGGGCAGGCAGAGCTCTGCTGTCACTGCCTGTCCCCCCAGCCGGGCCGCATGCCCCTCACCTGAGTCCCCAGAGCTCTCTGCCCATCCATGTTCAGCACGTTGAGTGACAAGGCTCTCTTCATCCTGCAGACAGGGCCAGGAGGAACAGTGAGCCCTGGGAGGTTCCTGAGCGGTACGCACCCAGATTCTGCCCATGGCAGGGCTCTACGGACCCCATCCAGCACTCACCCGGCCGCCCCTGCCAGGCCCTCGCCTCGGAGTCGGGAGACCAGCTTCTCACTGCCCCGCCGGATGGACTCCCGTAGCTTGGAGAATGAGCTGCTCCGAGGAAGGGCCTGTAGAGGGGGGGACACCGTTTGGTCCCCCCACCCTGATGCGACTGTCTCTACCCTGGAGCCAAGCCAAGCCATTCCTCACCTGCTGTTTCATATCACCAGCTGTGCCTGTGCCAGGGGCTCCTGGGGGGACAGATGGGGATGTGAGGGGAGGACACAGCGCAGAAGCCCCTGGGAGGCGACAGGGAGGGTGTGGCTCACCGAGCGGGCTGTGCAGGTCCTCTGGGCGGAGGATCTCCTTGTACAGCTCCTCAGCCTGCTGGTACTTGCTCTGCTTCAGGTAGGCGGAGGCCTGCAGAGGGTATGCTGGGGTCTGCTGTGGCCAGGACATCTCGGGACCCCTGCCTGGCTGGGCCTCCCAGTTCTCAGGAGGAGGCCGGGCTCCCTGTCCCCCAGGGCAGAAGCTCCGCCTGGAGCAGGCTGGGGCCCAGGGCAGCAGGGCAGGTGGCTTCCTGTCTCCGCTCTCCCTTGGCTGGTGACACCTCTGTGCCTCAGTCTCCTGTGCCAACTGGCAGTGACCACAGCTCCTACCTCGGAGGGCAGAGTGCTAACTAAGGAAGGGTTACCCGCTGTGAGCAAATAAAGATCTGGGGCCACACTGTCCGGCCCCTTCACCAGCTTCCTCTGTGCTCAACCTGCTCTCTGCCTCCTCCCGTCCAGGCCCTCCTAGGACAGCTCCCCAGAGCCACAGCCTCCCAGTGCCCCTCGGGTACCGCTGGGCACCCGGGGCAGGAGCCCAGCAGCCACTTGGACCCTGCGGCCCTCACCAGGTTGTTCTTGGTCTTGGCCACATTGGGGTCGTTGGGGCCCCCCAGGGCCTCGTAAATGCTCAGGGCCCGTGCATAGTGTCGCTCCACGTCCTCAAACTTGCCCTGGTTCTGGCAGAGCAGGGCCAGGTTGTTGAGCTGCTTGGCCACATCTGGGTGATCAGCGCCCAGGACCTGGGATTGAAGTCATAAGGGGTCACTGGGCCAAATGATGTCACTGCCATGTGGGGGTCTTGAGTTTGGGTCAAAGCATCAAAGGCATCAAAATGGAGAGTAACGTGGGGGGTTGGGGTGCGGAGGTGAAGTCACACGGTGAGTTCCAGTGGGTAGGTAGGGCTGGGGGAAAGGCAGGACCGGGTTGATAAGGGAGAGGTCAGGCTGAGAGCAAACCCGGCGGAAGTCAGCTCAAGGGTGATGGCTCCGGGGACTGGTGATCTAGGCTGTGATAGGGCGCTCACTACCACAGGTACCACGGGGTCCGGGTCAGGACAAAGGCAAGGGTCTGGCCACACAGGGCAGGAGGGTGCACCTTCTCCCGGATCTCCAAGGCGCGCTGGCACAGGGGCTCCGCCTCCCGGTACCGCCCGCGCTTCCCATACAGGACCGCCAGGTTGTTGAGGGTGGCGGCCACCTGGAGGCAAGAGGGTGGCTCGGGTCAGAGGTGGGCAGAAGCAGGCTCCCCTACCCCCAGGACCTCACTCACCGCGGGGTGCTCGGGGCCCAGCGTCTGCTCCCGGATCTGCAGGGCATCATGGAGAAGGTCTGTGGCTTCCTTGTACTTGTTCTGGTCCCTGCGGGGCCACGGGTGGAGGGGATTGGCCAGGCTGGGGGCACAGGCTGAGCGGGGCATGGGCAGCAGCCTCAGGAGTGCATTTTGGGGCACTGTTTCCTAAGACTTGGCCAAGCCTCTGGCTAGAACCCCATTCTGCTCCCCACGCTGGTTCTGGGTTTTTTTTGCAGTACTGGGAATTGAGCCCAGAGCCTTTGCAATGAGCTACATCCCAGCCCTTTTTTATTTGAGACAGGGCCTCACTAAGTCACCCAGGCTGGACTTGAACTTGTGCTCCTGCTGCCTCAGCCTGGGATGACCCCATGCCTGGCTCTGAGGCTCAGCCACTTCCCTAGATCTCTAGCCCTCTCTCCCCTATTTTCCTGTCACCATTCCATCCCCCACCCCACAGCCACTCCAGGTGTTTTGTAATGGCAGAGGGGACACCAGGGTCCTTCCACTGCCGCCACAGCCCCGTCCTTCCTGCCCAGCCAGCTGCAGCCTCACCGGTACACCAGGGCCAGGATGTTGAGCATGGTGGCCACGTCAGGGTGGCAGTGGCCTGAGCTGCGTTCCAGGTCCTCCAAGGCCTGGCGGCACAGAGGCACGGCGACCTCGTAGCGGTGCTGGCCCGCGTACTGGATCACGAGGTTATGCAGGGTCCGCAGCCGAGCAGGGATCTCGTAGCCACCCTGCTGGGCTGCTGCCACCCCTGCTGCCTCGGGACCTGGGGGAGGTGACACCGAGTCACTGCAGGCCTCTCCACTACAGCAGCCTTGCTGGGACTGTGGGGCCCGAATTGATTTTTTTTCTGTTTTCCATTCTAGGCATTGAATCCAGAGCCTTGGCATTGAGCTAAACCCCCACCCCCACCCCCCACCCCCGAATTTTTTATGGAGATAGGTCTGGCCAAGTTGTTAAGTTGCCCAGGCTGGGCTCACACTTGCCACCCTCCTGCCTCAGCCTCCCTGAGTTCTGGGATTATAGTCAGAGGCTACCACCCCCAGCTCCTGGGCTGACTTCTGAGATGGGAATCAGGCATATACCTGGCTGGTGGGTGTGTCCTGGCTGGGGGGACAAAAATGCCTGCCTGCCTGCACACCTGCCCCATGAGATGTGAATTAAACCCACCTGGCTCACAGGGTCAAGGTCACTGGGCCCAGCTGCCCCGCCAGCCTGTGGCCTTACCTGCCTGTCCTCCCCACTACCACCGGCCACCTGCTTTGTCCTCCTGCCCTCTGCCATCCTGGCTTCGAGTCCTGGGGGACAGCCTCCGCCTGCTGGCTGTCCTGCAGGCCCCCACACCCACCTTTGTGCTCCTCCTCCTCACTGGGGAACAGGGAAGCCAGGCTGTCTCGGCGAGGGGGGGAGTCCGGCCGCTGCGGAAGGACAGGCGTGGGGAGTCCTGAGCCTGGGGCTTGTCTCAGAGATGGGGTCCCCACTAGCCCTGGAGCCTCGGGGAGGACTGGCTTCTTTGGAGTTCTGATGGGCCTGGCTATTTGGGGTCCTGCAGGGGCTGAGGGTCCAGGGCTCTGTGGAGGGTTGGGGCCGTGGGATGCTAAGGAGGCTCTAAGCACCTGGCTCTCCTCAGGGGGGTCATATTGCCGCAGCTGCCCCAGGAACTGGAGGTGGCTCTTCTCCTCCTCCAGCTGGGCCACGGCTGCCTCGCTGGCCCACAGCCGCTGTCGGGTCTCCTGCAGCTCCTCACGCAGCCACGTGTTCTCCTGAACCAGCCTCCTGGCCTGTGCCCGCAGCCGCTGCTTCTCGGCCTCCAGTGAGCCCACGTGCGCAGACAGGGCCAGCAGCACCTTGGGGGTGGGTGGGCTGCAGTTCCAGTCTGGCCAGGCTGCCCTGGCCAAGCCTAGGCCCCCCATCAGGTCAGAGCACCCCAGTCTAGCCAGGACCCCCAGATTCTGCAGAGACTGCCCTCGCAGCTCCAGGGATGCCCAGGGGCTCCCCAATCCCTCTGGTTTCACTGCCTATTCCACCCATGAAGCCCCACAGTCACCCCAGGATTCTCAGTTGTACAAGAGGGGCCCATCTGGTTTGGGGGTGCCTGGAACACACAAACGCACCCTGTAGCTGGGGATGGTGGTGCACACCCATAATCCCAGCACTTTGGGAGGCTAAGGCAAGATTGCCAGTTCAAGTCCTGCCTGGGCCACTTAGTGAGACCCTATCTCAAGAGAAAAAAATTTAAAAAGGGCTGGGAATGTAGCTTGGCCGTCGAGCACTGCTGGGTTCAATCCTCAGTACCACAAACACACAGGTCCCTGCCGAATGTTGCCTGGGGACCCAGCCTCTGGCCTGAGGCTTCTCATTCCGGTCCCCCAGACCTCCTCCCACCCAGACTTGCTGGCTGCCTCCCTGGGCCCAAACCCACTCCCCAGGCCAGAGCCCCCCACCTGGCCTGCTCTTACCTGGGCCTCTCCCAGCCCCAGCTCAATGGCCTCCAGCGAGTGGCTCACCACCTGCTGCTTCTCTTCCAGCAGCTCCAAGCCGGCCACGGGGCCCTGTCCGGCCAGCGCCTCACCCAGGTGCCCCGCCAGGCTGTGGTGTTCCGCCCGAAGCGCCTCCAGCCCCTGCACCACCTGCCGCGTCTGCCGCACCAGCTCCTCCGGAGGCAGGCGCTCGGGGCCCAGCCCCGCACCCCCCGGGGCTGCCACCTGCACGGACATGGCACGGACCTGGGGGGGGAGGGGTCACTGCCGGAGCCAGACAAGCCCATCCCCAGCCGCAGACCCCCAACTGTCCCCCTACCAGCTCCCCAGGTGTCACCCATCCGGGCCGCGCCCCCGCCTCCGCCCCATCCATCCCAGCCAGCGCCTGGCCGCACACCTGACCCCACCAGTGCTCATCCGGGAACATCCCAGTCTACCTGAGTTTTTCCTGGGGACCCACGGCTCTGCCCCACCACAGCTCCAAACTCTTACTATATGGGATTAACCCAAGAGCGCAAGCAGCTAGCTCCTGGTGCCTCCCCGGCCCCAGCCCACCTGGCCGGCCCTCCCCACCCCCAGGTCCCCAGACGCCCTGGCCCAGAGCTCCGGGAGGGCGGAGGGGCGGTGCTTCCTCCCCTGGGCGCTGGGCGTGCGGGGCGGGGCAAGTGGAGGCGGCCGCCTCTCGCCCTGTGAGCTCATCTTAGGGTGTTTTTGTTGGGAACCAGTCAAGCCACTGGGGGCGGGTGGGGCTGAGGAGAGGGCCAGGGCCTGGGCACCGGAAGCCGGGAGCTTCTGGGTTAAGGGACAGGCAGAGGCCCTTGTGCTGTGGGCATGACAGCTCCTGAGGACACAGGGGCTCCACCCTCCACCAGCCCAGGGCCTGTTAGGACACACGTGTGGCCCACGGATGTCATAGTTGAAGGTCTGAAGCCTGGTACTGGGTGGAGGTCCCACAGGAGGGATTTTGCGTGGCTGTGCATGGGTGACCTGGTCAGATTCGTAGCTAGGGTACCTCTGGCGTCCTCAATGGTACCCACACTCCTCAGACACACAGACACATACCCTCTTAAAGAGACAACAGAACACACATCTCTCAGAAATACAACTCACATACACATGCACACTTCCTTTTTATAAATACAGTACCACACACACCTTTTCTTACTTTCCCTTATTAGAAGTTCAACATAATACACATTCTTGTCTTACGAATAACAACACACCCATACTTTCTTCTCCTAAAAATACAGCTCTTGGGCCGGGGATTTAGCTCAGTGGTTTCACCGCCTGCTGTGCAGGCGCAAGGACCTGAGTTCGATCCCAGTACCAAAGAAAATACAGCTCTTAGCCAGACACAGTGGTGCACACCTGTAACTCTAGCACTTGGGAGGCTGAGGCAGGAGAATCACCATGAGTTCAATGCCAGCCTGGAGTCATAGTGAATCCGAGGCCAACTTAAACTACATAATGAAACCCTGTCTCAAAAAACAACAAAAAACAAACAAAAAATACAGCTCAATGTTGGGTGTGGTGGCGCTTGCCTATTATGTCAGCTACTTGGAAGGCTGAGGCAGGAAGATTACAAATTCAAACCCAGCTCAGGCAAATTATGGAGATCCTATCCCAAAAAGCAAAAGGGGTGGAGATGTAACTGCAGGGTAGAGTGATTGCCTAGCAGATGCCAGGTCCTGGATTCAATTCCTAGGACTTTAAAACAACAACAGCTCAACACAAACACTGATGTACCTCCACGTTTTCCTTCCAGAAATACAACCTAATGCAACACAGACATTTTCCTGTCAGAAACAACATCTTGAGGGGAAAAAAAACACACCTGTGCACTTCCCCATTTCCTCTAACACCCATCCTCTCCACCCAGGCCTGGCCAGCAGGGACTCACACACTTACCCCGTGAACACACAGGTATACATGTATGGATGTGCAAATGGGTGGAACTCGGGCTCCCTTATGCTGTTGCAGGGGATCCCGTGTGTCCCGCTGCAGACCATTGGTAGCCACCACTGGCTCCCTGTGCGCAGGTGTGTGTGTGTCTGTACACGTGCTCCTCAACTGCTGTGGATCCCGTACCCACAGCCCCACGGGAGCTGAAAATATCTGAGGCTGAAAATGCACCATCTTCATTGTTTCCCCTCAGGATGCAGGGGTGGATGGGAGCTGCTGTCGTGACCACTGCCTGGCATCAGGAGAAATGACTGTGGCACATATTGGTGGCTGGGAAAAGACTGAAATTCACCATTGGAGTACAGTTCCTAGTGAACACACCTCACTCCCACACCGTCATCACACTGGAAGTCTAAGTGGAATCGCTGTAAGGCAGGTACTGTGGGGAACCAAGGCCCTTTCTGTAGAAGTGCGTGTGCCACACCTCACACAGGCTGCGTAAATGGCACACACAGTCATTAGGAGCCACCCTGACAGCTACCACCACTATTCACCCCACGGAACAATGTCCCGCGGCACCACACATCGCTGCACAGTTGGACACCTGTCACCCGCATGGAGAATCCCAGCCGTGCATCACTCAGGTGTTCCTCCCTATCTCTTTTTATTATTATTTTGAGACATGGTCTCGCTATGTACCCCAGGCTGTCCTGAAACTTGAAGTCTGCCTGCCTCAGCCTTCTGAATGCTCAGATCACAAGCAGGCTCCACCACACCTGGCTCCATCCCTCACACTTAGCCCCACCCTGAGGTCTCCCCTGCACACCGCCAGCCCAGGTCACACCACCCCACCTCTCTCTACACACACCTCCGCACCTCACTCACCCGGCCCGTTTTCACACACCATCCCATGGCACAGCCCAGCCTCCAGACAGCCACGGGTGGCCTATGCACAATCACAGGGACACACAACCAGAAAGTCAGCAGCAGGCACTTGTCCTGACCCAGTGCCACCCCACACCCCTGAACGCGCTGTGCCACTAGCAGAAGACTGCACAGCGCACACCACACACACCTAATCCTCGGGCAGAGCCATCACTGGTCATCCACACAGCCACACGCTCACACGAGCCCCAAGCGCAGAGCTGTCCACAGTCACACAATCTGTGTCACATGGGAAAAGTCCCATGAACAGTCCAACGCCCACCACGTGCACGCGCGCGGAGACACACACACTGCAGACACAGCCAGAGGTCACCCGCAACATGTAGTCCCTGCTCCCCATCCCAGGTCACACCTGCGTCCCCCCACGGTGTCACAGCCTGACGCTCTCTCCCGCACACACACCAGTCTCACACACCATCTCTCGCACCCTCTGCAGGAGGTCCCCAAACCAGGCCACTTCACTGCGGCCACACCCCCGCCTCCCCGCCTGGCCGCCGTGGCCCGCCCCCCAGGCTCCGCCCCGTTCCCCGCTCCTGTTTACCTGCGCTCCCCGAGGAGCGCGGCCAGCCGGGCTCCAGACCCCGGGATGCCCCACAGTGGGGCGTGGGGCGTCCTGCGCCTCAAGGGCCGTCCCTGTCTCCTGGCAGGGGTGGGGGGGCGGATGCGTCAGGCCCCGACCGCGCCCGCTGCTCACTCCCCGACGCCCGCGGATCCTCGGGACCCCGCGCCCCTCCCCGGAGTGCCCACCTGGTCGCGGAGCGCTCGGCACCTCTCGGCCGCCCCGCGCCCCGCTGCGCCCCGCTCTCCCGGCTCGCCCCGCCACACCCTGCTGCGCCAGTCCCAGCTGGGCCTGCTCCTCTGGGGGCGGGGCCGGTAGGAGCCACGCCCCGCAGGTGAGGCCGACTCCGCCCACCGCCCTCGGGGAGCGCTCGACCCGTGGGGATCGCAGCACCTCGCAAGGACCGCGCAGCCCCCTCTGTGGCGCCTGGAATCAGAGCCGGAGACCGGAAACGGCGGCGCTGCAGTCTTGGAAACTTGGAATCCTGAAAACTTTGAGTTCCAGACCAACGATCTGCTTTCAATGCCTGTGGCTACGCCTTTGCTCCGGCAGCGGCGCCCCTTCTCCATTTCCTTTCCCGCGGATCACGTCGTTTGTCTCGTCTCTTCTCAAAGGCCCCTTCCCCCAAGAGGCCTTCCTTCATTGTCGCTATATGTTAACTGATTAATTAATTAATTATTGTTTTGCAATCCTGGAGATTGAACCCAGGGCCTTCATCCTGAGTTACCTCGCCAGACTTTTTTATTTTTTGAGGCAAGGTCTCACTGTGTATAAATTACCCTTGCGGGGCTGGAACTTGCAATCTTTCTGCCCTAGGCACCCAGATGCTGGGATTACAGGCCTGAAACACCAAGGCCAGCTCCTTGATTGCCCCCATTTTTTTTTGAGACGGGGTCTTGCTATGCAGCCCAGGCTGGCTTTGAACTCTCAGTGATTCTCCTGCCTCAGCCTCCAAAGTGCTAGGATTTTAGGCATGTGGCACCATGCCTGGCCTTTTTTTTTTTTGGACAGGATCTCACTGTGTAGTTCAGGCTACTCTTGAACTCACTATGTAGCGCAGGCTGGCCTCGAACTCATGGCGATCCTCCTGCCTCAGCCTCTCGAGTGTTGGGATCACAAGTATGTGCCACAACACCTGGCTTCTCCCTCTCTCCTCCTTCTCTCTCTGCCCCTCCCCTTCCTCCTCCTCTCTTCTTATCCCTCCCCTCCCCCTTCTCCCTCCTTCTTTCTCTCTTACTGCCTTATAATAATCATTGGTTGCTTTTTCTCCCTCACTGAGGGGTGAGGTTCTGTATTGTCAGCTGTGTATCTTTAGCAGCAGCACAGAGCCTGGCACAGTGTAGGTGCTCAATACATTTCTGAGGTTACTGAATGAATGAATCAAATCCTAGAATTGTGAACAGCTAGAGATGGCTGCGCAGGATTTTAGCATCAAAGAACTTGTATCCAAAGGAACTATTCAAATCCCTCCCTTATCCGCGGTCACTGCGCTATGGAATTCTTCCAGCAGAGGGCGCAGCTGCTTCTTGGACCGCGTGTCGGTAGCCGACGTTGCTTGCCACCTCCTGCATCGCAGCCAACTTGCCCTCTACTGTCCAGTTCTCTAAGCCCAGTGCACATGCCTTCTTCTCCGGGAAGGGCTCTGTGAGCTCCCAGGCTTGCAACCTCGGGCTCCCACTCTTGCTCAATATCACCTGGGGACAAGTCTCCCACTCTGGACTGGGTGCCCCCTGGGAGGGTAGGACAGGGCCAGAGTCATGCCGCTCACCATTCTGTCCCATTAGGCCCAGCACAGGGCAAAGAGAGAAGGCACTCTGGAGTCTTGGTGTGGATAGAATCATGGAAAAAACTTAAACTCATATTCTAACTCCTCCAGGTATCTCTAGGGGACATTGTTTTGACAGATGTTGGTTCTGGATCTGCCACATGAAGCAGGCGACAAGCCAGGCAGCCCGGGAGCAGCTCCTAGCTCAGTCATTGGCTGGCCGTGTGACCCCCTAGCTAGGAGGTAACTTCTCTGGGCCTTAAGTTCCTGGTGGGTAAAACCAGTTTCCAAGGAGTACCTACTTTTTGAGGCTGTTGTGAGAATTAATGAGTGACACCCCCCCCCCCCAGAAGCTTAGGACAGGGTAGCACACAGTTGTCACTATGTGTGCTTGTAGGGGAGGCAGATCTGGGTTCAAATCCTGGTCTGGCTATTCTCCTTTTGTGTAACCTGCGGCAAAAATGACCCCTTGCTGAGCCTGTTTCCTTATCTGCAAAACACACCATTGAGTTTAGGATTAAATGAGATAAAGATTGAAAGAAGAAAATGTTAACTAAGGTAAACATTTCCTGTTCCAAGTACCTTTACACAACTCCAACAAGGACTAGTACTTCTGAGTTTTTACCTGGAACAGGCCCTGTGCCAAGTCCTGCCTGCAAAATACCTCTGTTAATCTTCACATCAGGTGCTCTAATCTCTCCATTCCACAGGTAAAAAAGGCAAGGCATAGAGAGAGGTTGAGTACCATTATGGTATAGATCTAGAGTGTTCCCCAAGACTCATGTTCAGAGGCGGGGCCTGGTCAGAAGGGGTGGATCACTAGGGTGTGACTTGGAAGGATACATACCTGTCTCCAGCTCTTCCCTTCTCCCTTTCTGCTTCCTGTCCACCATAGCATAAACTGCTTTCCTCTTCCAGACCCTTTACCATGTTCTTTCTGCCTTGGAGCCTGACAACCATGGACCAAACCCACTGCAACAGTGAGCTTTGATTTCTTATTTGGTTTTTTGTTTGTTTGTTTTTCCAGTACCGGGAATTGAACTCAGGACCTTGTGATTGCCAGGTAGGCACAGAGCTACTGAACTAAACCCCCATCCAACAATGAGCTTTTAAATTGTGGGCATCAGGTATTTTGTCCATCAGTGGAAAAGTGACTAATACAGAATATTGGTACCAGGAGTGGGGTCTTGGCTGTGACACTACCTGACTATGTGATTAAGAAGCCTTTGAAACTGGTACATGGGAGGAGTTTGGAAAACTCTGAAGATACCTGTAGAGATGCCTTAAAATGCTGTAAACTGAACTTGATGGGAGATTCTGGTCAGGAATCAGAAGACCAGAATCCTGATAGGAATGTGGATAGGAAAGGCCAGGCTCAGGAGGTTTCAGTTGGGAATGAGAACTCCATTGGCAGTTGGACTAGAGGTCATATGTGTTACACTCTTGTCCACATTTTGCCCATGTTCTGAGAATTTGTAAGAGACTGAGATTAAGGGCGACAGGCTAATTATTCTGGTGGAAGAAATTTCAAGGCAGTCCAAGGCTATATCATGAGTACTGCTGGCTGCTTTCAGCTCAAACTACAGTAAGAATCAGAAGCAAATGACATGGCTGAATGACTTGGAATTCTGCAGTTTTGTCATAAAGGAAGTGCCTGTGATATTGGGGCCATAAACAGCATGGTTACTGAAAAAAAAAACAGAGTTAAAAAGAAGCCTGGTTGGGTATGATGGTGGTTGCTTGTAATTTTGGCACTTTGGAGGCTGAGGCAGGAGGATCACCATGAGTTTGAGGCCGACATGGGCTACATAGTTCAAGGCCAGATTGAATCTCATAGTGAGACCCTGTCTCAATCAAAACAAAACAAAAGGCCAGATATTTAGCACTGAGACAAGAAGAAAAATGCCTTGAGGGAATCTCAGAAATCAGTGAGACCCCATGCATTTCAGGCTCAAGGGTGGAGAGCTATAAATCTTTCACTGGAAAAGAAAATCCTTGGGATGCCTGCCTTGGGAAGTACATCCCTAAGTTTAGCCACCCAGGGACTCAGAGGCCACTATAGCCATGGTCCAAGGGGACCCAGTTATTGCTCAATCTATGGAGTACTGGTTTTTCAGACATGCAGAATACAAGAGTTATGGGGTCACAGAGATTTCCACTCAGATTGGGAGGCCAGGCGAAAATGTGTGACAGGGTTACAGTCCCTGCCAAAAGTCCACGAGAGGACTTCCCCACAAGCCACAAGCCGCTGTACGGCGCCGTCTCCAATCAGTGGCACAAATGGGAAACAGACAGAAGCCTCAGTGAGTCATATTTCATTTGCTCCTGGATGGTGTCAACATCTCCAAGGAGGCCCGGAGCGCCATCTCCTGTGCTGCCAGCATCTTTGTGCTGTACGCCACATCCTGTGCCAACAACTTCATGATGAAAGGGAAGCCCAAGACACTCAATGCCAGTGATGTGCTCTCAGCCATGGAAGAGATGGAGTTCCAGCGGTTCATTACCCCATTAAAAGAAGCTCTGGAAGCATATAGGCAGGAGCAGAAAGGCAAGAAAGAAGCTTCAGAACAAAAGAAGGACAAAGACAAAAAAACAGATTCAGAAGAGCAAGACAGGAGCAGAGATGAGGATAACGATGAAGCTGAAGAGAGGATAGAAGAACAGAACGAAGCGGATGAAGTAGACAGCTAACAGGGTGGGAAGACTGGCACTGTTGGAGCTACCACTCTGAAACATGGTGCATGTTTATGTGAAGCTTTTCCCTGCTGGGCAAAGTAGTCTTAGGCACAAGTGCCTGGGAAGATCACAATAAAAACTGACTATAATTATCATCAAACCAGTGTTTCACCAACTCAGAGCATCTGAGTAGCAGAATCCTCTTTTGTTTAATTAGGCTGAAGGTTATTACTTTTTGGCAAGAGGGATTCTGAACAGCTAATTAAATAAGTGATTTGTTATCTTGTTAAAAAAAAAAAAAAGAGTCCATGAGAGGGCAGTGTGTGAAGCTGTGTGAGTAAAGCCAAAGATGCAGTGGAGACCTCAGAAGTTGGAGATGCTAAGAATGTGGAATGTTGCTGGACATGGTGGAGCATACTTGTGAGCCCAGCACTCAGGAGGCTGAGGCAGGAGGATCACTGCGAGTTTAAGGCCAGT